AAGTAACAGAGAGAGGGAAAAGGATGAAGGATAGATGGAGGTGGCAGGATGAAAGAGAGAGAGAGAGAGAGAAGGAGAAAGATAATAAGCAGGGAGGGGCAAGGAGAAGGAGATGAAGAAGGAAGGATAGGCTTGAAGAGGGAGACAGAGAAGCAAGGAGAGGCAAGGAGGAGGAGGAGGTAGAGAAGTAGGGAGAGGGAGATGATAGCAGGGAAAGGTAGTGAGAGGCAGGGACAGTATAACACCAGGAAAGGAGGCTGTCTCAGACTGTTACTAATGGAGTCATAAATCAGGGTCGTGAAGTTGTTTTGTGAGGATGAGGGTGTGGTGGAAGATGGGGTGTGGTGCAGAGGATGGGGGTGTGGTGGAGGATGGGGGGTACGGTGGAGGTGGGGTGTGGTGGAGGGTGGGGATGTGGTGGAGGTGGGGGTGTGGTGGAGGATGGGGGTGTGGTGGAGGATGGGGTGTGGTGGAGGATGGGGTGTGGTAGAGGATGGGGTGGTGGAGGATGGGGTACGGTGGAGGGTGGGGTGTAGAGGATGGGGTGTGGTGGAGGATGGGTGGTAGAGGATGTGGGGGTGTGGTGGAGGATGGGGGCATGGTGGAGGGTGGGGGTGTGGTGGAGGATGGGGTACGGTGGAGGATGGGGGGTGGTGGAGGATGGGGTACGGTGGAGGGTGGGGGTGTGGTGGAGGATGGGGTGCGGTGGAGGATGGGTGGTGAGAGGATGGGGGGTGGTGGAGGATGGGGTACGGTGGAGGGTGGGGGGTGTGGTGGAGGTGGGGGTAGAGGATGGGGTGTGGTGAAGATGGGGTGGGTGGAGGATGAGGTGTGGTGGAGGATGGGTGTGGTAGAGGATGGGGGTGTGGTGGGAGGATGTGAGGGATGGGGGTGGTGGAGGATGGGGGTACGGTGGAGGGTGGGGTGGTAGAGGATGGGTGTGGTGGAGGATGGGGAGGTGGAGATGGTGGTGGAGGATGACGAGTGGGGTGGTGGAGGATGGGGTGCGGTGGAGAGGGTGGTAGAGGATGGGGTGGTGGAGGATGGGGTAAGGTGGAGGGTGGGGGTGTGGTGGAGGATGGGGGTGTGGTGGAGGATGGGGTGGTGGAGGATGGGGTGGTGGAGGATGGGGTGTGGTAGAGGATGGGGTGTGGTGGAGGATGGGGGTACGGTGGAGGGTGGGGTGTGGTAGAGGATGGGGGTGTGGTGGAGGATGGGGGGTAAGAGGGGTGTGGTGAATGGGGGGTGAGGTGATGGGGTACGGTGAGGATGGGGGTGTGGTGGAGGATGGGGTACGGTGGAGGGTGGGGTGTGGTGGAGGATGGGGTGCGGTGGAGGGATGGGGTGTGGTAGAGGATGGGGTGTGGTGGAGGATGGGGGTACGGTGGAGGGTGGGGGTGTGGTGGAGGGTGGGGGTGTGGTAGAGGATGGGGTGTGGTGGAAGATGGGGTGTGGTGGAGGATGAGGGTGTGGTGGAGGATGGGGTGTGGTAGAGGATGGAGGTGTGGTGGAGGATGGGGTGGTAGAGGATGGGGTGTGGTGGAGGATGGGGTACGGTGGAGGGTGGGGTGTGGTAGAGGATGGGGGTGGTGGTGGGAGGATGGGGTAAGTGGAGATGGGGGTGTGGTGGAGGATGGGGTACGGTGGAGGGTGGGGTGTGGTGGAGGATGGGGTGCGGTGGAGGATGGGTGTGGTGGAAGGATGGGCGGAGGATGGGGTACGGTGGAGGGTGGGTGGTGAGGGGGGTGTGGTGAGGATGGGGGTATGTAGATGGGGTACGGTGGAGGGTGGGGGTGTGGTGGAGGTGGGGTGTGGTGGAGGGTGGGGGTGGTGGAAGATGGGGTGTGGTGGAGCGTGGGGTGTGGTGGAGGATGGGTGGGGGGGGTGGGGGTGGTGGAGGATGGGGTGTGGTGGAGGGTGGGGTGTGGTGGAGGGTGGGGGTGTGGTGAGGATGGGGGTGTGGTGGAGCGTGGGGCGTGGTGAGGATGGGGTGTGGTGGGGGTGGGGGGGGGGTGTGGTGGAGGATGGGGGTGGAGGAGGGTGGGGGGTGTGGTGGAATGTGGGAGTGTCGAGGGTGAGGGTGAGGTGGAGGATGGGGTGTGGTGGGGGAGGTGAAGGGTGTGGTGGAGGATGAGGGGGTGTGGTGGAGGATGAGGGAAGATGGAGAAGGTGGAGGATGAGGGAGGAGGCGAAGGGGTGTGGTGGAGGGTGAGGAAGTTGTGTCGGTAGAAGAAGAGAAGGCATTTTGTGCTGTATGGTGACGTGTGTTAGGAGGGGAAGGAGGGGGGGGTGGAACCAATGAGGAGAATGAAGTAGATAGGAAAGATGAAGAGAAACAAGAAAAGAGAAATACAAAAAAATATGGAGGAAAAATAGGGAAAATAAATGGAAGGAAGGGTGGGGAAAGAGAGGGGGGGGGAAGAGGCTACTACTCCGGTAAAAGTTTTAATATATTCTGTCTACGTTGAGACAAGTTAGTAAGGGAGGCTGAAGTGGTGGCAGCTGTTGTTAGTTGCTGATGATGATGATGATGTTGTGGTGGTTGTTGTTGTGGTTGCTGTTGTAATTGTTGTTATTGATGATGAATGTTTGTTGTAATGGTTGATTATGATGATGATGATGATGAGGATGATGTTGTTGTGGTTGTTGTTGTGGTTGCTGTTGTAATTGTTGTTATTGATGATGAATGTTTGTTGTAATGGTTGATTATGATGATGATGATGATGTGGTGGTGGTGGTTGTTGTTATTATTTTTGTTGTTCATAATGAATGTTTGTTGTAATAATTGGTGTTGATGATGAGATGAACATAATGTTGTTGTGGGCATTGATTGATGAATGTTATAGTTGTTGTTGATGATAATTTTGATATTGTAGTTGTTTATATTGATACGGTTGTTGTTGTTCTTGATATTCTAAAAATAATGACGAAGAAGAAGAACAACAACAACAATAACAACGTTTATAGCCTCTACCAGAATTTTCCCCGCCGTCTTTTAGTTCCCTAGATCCTTTCATCACGCGAGGATTTCTCCCTAGACCTGGGCAAGTCGGGGGAATTAACCAGCCCTGTGAGGTAAGTCAAAGAACTTGATGACGTGTTTATCGCGCGACGGGGTGGCTAAGCGCTAGGTGGGGAAATAATCTGCCAGTTGAGGGAAAGTTCTGATATTTTCCCTCACCCACTGAGTTTGTGTATCAAGGTGAGAGAAGAGTGTTAGTGGCGTTGGGAAGTGTTGCTCTCTATCTTTCTCTAATATAATCCTTTCGTGATTCCTACGATAAAGTTTTTTCATTAATATTTAAAAAAAAAATTACCGTCGTTAAGGCCAAACTACTTTTTTTTTTTTTTTTTTGCACTCCCCTACATCCTTGTGTAAGGTGAAGCGCAGAAGCGTTTACAGCGACCAACAGGGAAGCATGCTGAGTTCATGCTTGCCTTTATGTCTCACGAGTCAAGGGCGTAGAAGCCTGAAGAGTCAGTGGTTTTAGTCATCAAGTTATTGGAAACTCCAACAACTCCCTGAATACGAATTCGCAACTTTCGACTTACAACAGGTACCTACTTTACTGCTAGGTGAACAGGGACTAATGGGGGCTAGGAAGTAAGTCCAAACAACTTCCACTGTCCAGGTCGCAGACGCCCTTTGGGTCACGTGACACTCGAGCTAAAGTCTACGTGGCGGTGGTCTAAGGTCAAGATCATGGTGTCAGAGGTTATCGCATAAGGCCTAAGGCGGAAGGAAGGCGAGGGAGAGAGGAGGAGGAGGAGGAAGGGGGAGGTCGCTTTGTAAAAAGTGTATTTCCTTGTGTGTCTTAACATTCATTTATGAGTGTGTCTCCGTGTGTTTGAGTGTCCAATTAATTTTATAGCTCGAATCGTAGCTTGTATGAATGTGTTAGAGAACGTTTATACATTATGCGTCAGTTCTTGCTGTATACTTCAATTTTTACCGTGTTATTGAGGCTACCTGTGGCGCCTGGCTGGAGGGTCTGTTAGGAGTGTCGTCACCATGACAACTTTAGGTTCTTAACTCTTATTCGTCGTGTTTCTTTTTATCCTTGAATTTTACTAGTTTATAATGCTCTTTGGTGATGTATATGTCACGCTAGATGGGAATATTCCAAATTACTGTAAGCATTTTAAGCAACTGAAGTTTTTGCCAGAGAGGATAACTATTCGTTTTTATCGCTGCGACTTAATGGTATTTTTTCAATTTATCGTCAAATTTGTTCCCTTCTCTTATACATTAACTTTAATTAAAAATTTCTGTTCACACAAATAAGACATCCCAGCTTATTACACCTAGTGATTAAACACCCTAACACTTCCTGGGGGGTAAGGTTAGGTTAGGTTACGTTAGGTTAACTTAGGTTTGGTTAGGTTAGGTTAATGTCAGACTATTTAATCATAAGGTGAAATATGTTAGGGGCTAATCTTCATATGATCCAAAATTTCATAGATACAAATTTCTGTGAGCAGTCGTAGCTTATTACATTGGTTTGTTGTGTATTGTTTCAGGTTGTTTACGTCATTGTAGGAGACCTGATTAAAATAAATAGATCATTTTACAACACATTAAAAGTATTTGTTTAATATAAGCGAACAAATATATATAACAGTAGCACATAATATATTTCAACTCTCTCTCTCTCTCTCTCTCTCTCTCTCTCTCTCTCTCTCTCTCTCTATATATATATATATATATATATATATATATATATATATATATATATATATATATATATATATATATATATATCTGTCTGTCTGTCTGTCTCACAAAGATAATTAAACGTGAAGCAGGAATAACAAAGAAACTTATATATCACGTGGCATAATAATAACATCAATAAACACAAATATAATATATGTTTGTGTGAGAGACAACATCACCGCCATATCAGCCAGGTTAATCAACACCACTGCAGGAATTTCTAGGTGGTGTGTGTGTGTGTGTGTGTGTGTGTGTGTGTGTGTGTAGCTCTCAGTCGGTCCCTGTCACTCACCCCGCCCGGTACCTGCTGAATGGTGCTACTACTGGTTACACAAGTAGGAGAGCCAACACCCAGTACCTGGCACTATCTGTTCTTATAGTAGTTCCTGAAGACTCGCCTTAACAATACAGCATGTGGTATTTTTCTGTAATTTATGTGCCTTATGTGCATTCTTCTGTGTGTGTTGTAGTTGCCTTATGATCTGAGATAATTTTTTACTAGCTCTAAAATCATCGAAGAAAATGTTTTTAAGGGATTGTTGTCATCATCATCATTACCTGTGTCTGTCCCCTTCCACACTCACACACTACTTACTGCTTTGCTGTCACTCAGAATTGAGTATGATGATCATCCATCTATGAAACAATGCGACGAGTTATTAAGGATGTCACCTGCGTTGGTGAGTTCTCAGATGACTAAAGAGGCCGATACGGGACCGGCAGGGTAGTTCACAATTGTTGCACATGTGGGGGGCTACATCTGATGAGGGAAGGGCGGCGTCAGCTTCTTTCCGGCATTGGTGCTTGTCTGCCTCGGTATGCAGTCGAGCTTACTCGAAAGTATTGACACCTTCTTGTGTGGTGCTCCTCCAAGCATTACGGTGTAGAGTAGTCGTCTCCCAGGTGAGGGGGTCGATTTGACACTTTTTCAAGTTTGTCTTAAGACTATCCTTTTACCTTTTCAGTTGCCCGCCAGCATTACATTTACTAATAGTCAGGTGACTGTAAAGTAGCTGCTTTAGCAGTCTACTGTCGTTCGTGCGGATAACATGGCCAATCCAGTGCAGTTGTTCATTGATAATGGTAGCCTCGATGCTCCTACAATTGGTGTCAGCAAGAATACTGGCATTTGTTCTCTTGTCTTTCCATTCAACTCGGAGAATGAAACTACGACTACGTTGGTTAAAGTTTTCAAGTGCCTTTAGGTGCCTCCTCTATGTAACCCATGTCTCGCTGCCATATAGCAGGGTGGGGAGGACCACTGCGCAAAATGCGTGCAACTTTGTAGATAACTTATGCTCCCTACAGCTGAAGACACGGTTACGGAGTCTGCCAAAGGCTTGAGATGCACATCTGATCAGATGCTGAATCTCTTCATCCATGCCGCGTTGGTGGACAGGTGGGAGCCGAGATACCGAAAGTGAGTAACATTACAGAGGGTAGTACCGTTAAGCTGGATGGGTGGTGGGGGGGTGGCTGAACCAGGGGCAGGCTGAGAGAGAATCTGAGTCTTACTTACAATCAACTCAAAGCCAAATTGTGCATACGCATCTGCATAGGTGTTCAGAATCTCTTGTAGGTCGTGTTCAGTGTGAGCAACAAGGGTGAGGTCGTCTGCATACTGAAGTTCAGTAATGGAAGCTGTCTACACCTTTGTTCCTGGCTGGAGTCGTCTTATGGTGAAAGGCCTTTCAACATAAGGTACAACATTGACTTAGCAGTCTTTGTATGTGTGCAAAGACTGCTATGTTCGATGTTGTACCTGCCAGCTATTTTGCCAAAAGGGCGGTTCTTCTTTCAGGACGTGCTTTTGTGCCAGAATCCAGAAGGGTCCTGACATTCCATGCAGTGATCATAAGTGATTGTATGGTTTGTTTTTATTTGGAGCTGTGATTATGATTGTGTTTTCGACCTCATAAGGGTGACCTTACTGTGTGCAGTTGCCCAGTTAGGTTGTTTATTTAGGCAGGCTATATTTAGGGCATCTTTTCGAGCCCCTTCCCCATGTGGGGTGAGCAGAGTGGCTCCTCGAATGGTCTGCTCAGTAGCATAGACAGGACCAGATTGCACTGCTGCCTAGATCCCAGTGCATAAACGACCATCTTATCAGTGCCGCCCATGTGCAGAGTTATGACTAGAGACTCCCGGCAGTCATCTCTGCCTGTTTCGGTCGCCACTCGTCCTTCGTCATATGATTTTTGGGGATATAGGGGTTTTGATGATGGTGAGATGGCTGATGGCTGCGAGTGAGTTGATTTATGTGGTGAAGCAGGAGTGCAGGCTGCAACCCTTTTCCTGATCCAGTGGTCCAAGTTTTGCAACGACTGGGGAGAGGCAGAGTTGCAATGGACTGCCGATAGTTCAGTTTGTTCTGTTTCGCCTTAGTAGCCTGTCTATCATGTATTGCCTCGTCCACCAGTCTAGTCGCTGAGTTCCCATGGTGGTCACCTCTTCCGCCTATACCGCCGTTGGGGTCTTGTTGGAACTCTGCAAGCATGTCTGCCTGATGCGGGGCTCCACCGCAGATTTTTCGTTCGGGGTTTACTCCCGTAGCCTTATACCTACCAAGGTTAATCCGCAAGGTAGCAGGGCAATGGTTGGTAGGCGGCAGTACGTGTCCACATGCCAGTGGGCCTATGTGCCGTCCCTCTGGGGCTCACTGCTACTCCGAGATCCCTTGCTGGTCTAGCCTGGGCTCACGAGGCACCCAATTACCGTGTGTTGCCACGAGGAGGCACAGCAGGAGTCTTGATGGTAAAGAGGCTGTGTACTGGCAGGTGAAGACTTTTTCATGTTGCTTCTCTGTTCGCCACGAGGCACACACACACATACATACACACACACACACACACACACACACACACACACACACACACACACACACACACACACACACACACACACATCAACAGTGACGGAAGAGAATGCTGCTGATCACACGTTTACATCATCGGCTTCCTGTTCAATACGGGTGAGAAGCCTGGCGACTCAAGTCGCCTCTCTTGACGTTAGCCTGACAGACGACCTGTGGAGAAGGTGGAGTATGGACTCAGGACTTGTTCATTAATTATAGCAGGTATTTGTTACTGCTTTCTTTCTTGGTATTGGGTGCAGCACAGTTCTGATTTTATAATTGCAATCGTTTTAGTCAGTTCAGTCGGGAAATCTCAATTTCTAATGCAATTTTATGCAAATGAATAATTACAAAGGATTTTTTTTTTAATCTAACAACTCTCAGTAGATGCTGTTTATCATGGAAAGATGGAAAGACTATTCAGACTCAGACTACTGAAGAGTCCCGCCTGCCCACACCTCCATTAAAAAACACATGTATTGAGTAGCAGGCAATATTGACAGAAAGAAAACACAAATACAAGTATATTAAGAAATGATAATTAACCACTGTATTTAGCTAAAACCAATATTGATCACCAGCCAACCATAGATAAAAACAAGAAAATTGATTATAACCCAGGTACTTTTATATTGTTTGCATGTTACTGTCCACATAGTCTGATTTGCTCAACTTTATATATAAGATAAGATAGAACTCCGATAAAACACACGAGTAAAAAGGAAAACACGGAGCACTTAGCTGCCTTTATTCAAGACATCTTCAGATGTTGTTTTCCTTTTCGTGTGATTTTACCACAATATATATATATCATATACATATATATATACACACAATCAAAACCTCAACCTGCCAGATTGTCCCACAAAAGCCCACACTCGTGACCGGGAACGCCAACCGCTGGACAACCAGGATACTAAAAGCTGTCCTGACTTCGTTATATTTCACACAAAGCCTGTTCAACGATCTTATGGAAACCCCGCAGAATAATGAGAGGTATTCGAGTCGCAAGTTCGCTTAATACAATCTTATCCGTTTTGTTATCAATCTTAACAACGTTCAACACCCAGGTAAACACCATTATCTTAACATGACATAGAACAGCATTATATTTTAAATACAGGTACCAAAATAGTTTAAAAAATTTGTCTCATATTCATAGATTTTTTTCTTTACCCTGCCTGGTTGTTGACGAGAAGTACCGACACGATAGTTCAACTAACAGTCACGCAGGTAACGTTTGCTTCCTGACAAAAACTATGTTGATCGTCATGTTCTGGAAATAGCCATCTACCAAAACGAGTCAATACATAGAGACACACACACATTACCACTACGTTAAGTACAAACGGAAAGATTACAAACGATCATCCAGCCATGAGACAGTTATATGAGTTATTAATGATGTTCTACGTGTTTTGAGGACTAGAAGAGGCTGATACACCAAATGCATGCTGTACATGAGAGCTACATCCAGAAGAGAGAGCGGGCGGCGCAGCATCTTTCTGGCGCTGAACCTGTTCCCTCAATTGCAGTCGCTAATTGGCATTAACACCCAAGGCTCCCTCCAAGCGTGACAGGTGAACGTAAACGCCCCAGCGTAAGGGCGGTCGATTCTTCTTTCTGGATTGTCTTGCTATCCACATAACCTTTCAGCGCCCCGCCAGCGTAACGTCCGCCATCCGTTAGGTGACTGTAAAGCAGCTGCTGGCAGTCCATCGTCCGCGCAACATGGACAGTCCATTGTTATGGATATTGTAGCCTGATGCCCTTACAGCTATTTCTAGCGAGAAAACTGGCATTTGTTTTTTGTTTCCACGAACCGGAGGATGGAATGTAGTACTACGTTGGTGAATATTTCCATATGTGCCTGAGCTCCCGGTGACCACAAGTCCTGCCATTATATGGCAGGTGGGATGACCACTGCCCGATATACGCAACTTTATAATTTCAGCTCCCTACAGCTGAAACACAGGTTGGGGGAGTCTGTTAAATGCTTGGGATTCAAAACTATCCGATACAAAGAACCTCTTCATCGATGTCCGGAGGACAGGTGCTAGGATACTGAAAGTGGGTAATACAGAGAGGGTAGTGCCATTGCTTGATGGATACGATGGAGGTGTGACTGAGAGAATCTAGTTAATTTACATTCATCTCAGCCCAAGTGTGCATGCAAAACTACAGATGTTCAGGATTCCAGAGGTTGCAACCAAAATGAGCTAAAAGGCAGGTCGTCTGCACACAAGTTCAGTACATAACCGCCCACACCTTTGATCCCGCCTGGAGTGGTCTTATGTTGAAAAGACCTTCATCCGGTACTGATCTCCACCCGCCAGCTAAATTCTTCACCATACACACAGTAATAAAAGGAAGAAAATGGAATAGAGTTGGTGCCAGTGCACATCCTTGTTTTACCCCCCGCCCTGATGAGGAAGAACCAGACTGATGCCACAGTGCAGACACTGTTTTCATGCCATCGTGAGTTACATCACAATGGCAAGAACTGGCAGCCAAAACGAAAGATCCAGAGGAAGCTTCCACACCCCACCCGAAGGCCTGTTAAGTCATCGAACAAATACCATGCTGTTCTTCACTTTCCCATCTGCGGCAAACAAAGACTCATGTCAGTGGTGCCACATGGATAATCTAAAGCCACACTGAGATTCTGGGAGGAAGTTTTCCGCCTCAGGAAGAAGTCTGTTTTGGAGAACTTGGGCGATCATCTTGCCAGCTACGGACAGCAGCGAGATGCCCGCAATAGTTGTCACAGTCTAACCTGTCTCCCTTGTTCCTATAAATATTGACGTCGGAGGCTTCTTTAAGAGCTTGGGGGATTTCCTCCTTTTCCCATATATTCTCCAGGAGAGAGTGGAGACGGCTGGTAAACAGAGGTCCTCCTGCTTTAAACATCTCGGCTGGGATTCCATCAGGCCCTGAGGCTTTATTATTTTTCATCTGTTTGATGGCAGTAGCTACCTCATCCAGGGATGGAGGATAGCTGAGGTGGGTCAGCTCTGGATCCTGAGGGATCTGCTGGGTAGTCAGGACATTCACATCGGTGTTTCGGTTGAGCAATGAATGGTAGAGCTCTTTCCAGTTCTGAAGGATGCCTTCACCGTCTTTAATTAAGGAGCTACCTTCGGATGAGCGAAAGGGGGCTGCGCCACAAGTGACTGGCCATAAATTGTTTTGGTGGAATTGAAAAATTCGCTCATCTTGAGCTGAACTGCAAGTTTTTGTGTTTCACATGCTTTATTTTTAAACCAGTCGTTCTTTAGATCGCGAAATTGCGCTGGGCCGCCGCTTTCGTCTTGCGGAAAGTATCAGCTTTGGTCCGAGACACACACACACACACACACACAAATACTCTCACAAATACACACACACACACACACGCGCGCGACACACACACAGATACACACGCACACGCACACACACACACACATACGCTCACACACACACACACACACACACACACTTACACACACACACACACTTACACACACACACACACGTGTCTGCTGTTCAACACCTCAGCTCACATGATCTACGTGTGTAAACATTAATCTGTATGTTCACTGTATATGTTCCTTCACCTTTCTCTAATGAAGGCTTTTGTTAAACCATCAATGTATGTAATAAGTCATTTATGTCCAATGTATATTTTCAGCCTTCGGGCTGCAAACTTTTTCAATAAACCGTTTATTATTATTATTATTATTATTATTATTAAGATACAAATGTTTATGGTCATCAGAAAAGCAAATCTTCTAAACATGTAGAAATTTTGGGTTCTACAGCTTATCTTTACATGAACTGAGACACATGAGGTGTATCCTCGGAGCAGAAAGTGAATTACTGAAATGGAGGATTACTGGCGGCCATATTTGTTGTTGGTGATGACATCAGGGTAGGACATATTTGTTGGTGGTGGTGACGTCAGAGGACATTTGTTGGTGGTGATGAAGTCAGAGGGGAAATATTTGTTGGTGGTGACGTCAGAGGGGACCTATTTGTTTGTGGTGACGTCAGAGGAGGACATAGTTGGAGGTGGTGGTCACGTCATCGGTGGACACATTTGCTGATGGCGACGTCATATGGCACATATTTGTTGGTGGTGGTGATATCAGAGGAAGACATAATTTCGTTGGTGATGACGTCAAAGGAGGACATTTTTAGTGGTGAGGACGTCAGAGAAGGACATTTCTTGGTGAGGACGTCCGAGGACATATTTCTTCTTGGTAGTGACGTCAGAGGAGGATATAGTTGTTGGTGGGGATGACGTCAGAGGAGGACCATATTCAAATTGTGTTGCTGGTGGTGACGTCATTGGTGTGTTTCATGACTAATAGATACTCCACCTTTCATCCTCCCTCACAGGACCTCTTGCTTCAGGCTGTTCCATAATGGTAGAGAGGGAGAAACTCAAGGTGGTGGTGGTCCTGGTGGTGATGGGGCCATGGACGGCCTCCCTGACCATGGCAGGAGAGCCTTCCGTCCAGTTCATCGAAAGTTCCTACCTGGGGAACTTTATGGTAGCGAAGGGGAAGACACTTACTATGGACGGCAGTTATTCTACTCTCTCACTGGCGGCTGAAAAAGCGTGTAAGTTAGTGAATCTTCCTGACACATTCCCTGATACATTCCCTGACACACATTCCCTGAAACTCATTCCCTGACAAATACATTCCCTGACTTACATTCCCTGATAAATTCCCTGATACACATTCCCTGACACACATTCCCTAACACACATTCCCTGACACATTCCCTGACACACATTCCCTGACACGCATTCCCTGACATACATTCCCTGACACGCATTCCCTGACACACATTCCCTGACACACACATTCCGATACGCATTCCCTGACATACATTCCTGACACATTCCTGATACGCATTCCTGACACGCATTCCCTGACACACATTCCCTGACACACATTCCTGACACACACATTCCTCACACATTCTACACATTTACTCACACACACCTTCCCTCACACATTCCACTCACATTCTCCACACATTCCTCACACATTCCTTCACACGCATTCCCTGACATACATTCCCCTGACATACATTCTCTGTTGATGCACATTCCGTGACACACATTCTCTGACATTCTGACACATTCCCTGACACATTCTCTGACACATTCTAGCACACATTCCTGACACACATTCCCTCACACATTCCCTCACATTCCCTACACACATTCCCTACATTTCCCTCCACACATTCCCTCACACATTCCCTCACACACATTCCCTCACATTCCTGACATACATTCCCTGACATACATTCCCTGGCTTGCACCTTCCGTGACACATTCTCTGACCACACATTCCTGACACATTCCCAGACACACATTCCCTGATGCATTCCCTGACACACATTCCCTGACGTACATTCCCTGACACACATTCCCTGACATACATTCCCTGACACACATTCCCTGACACACATTTCCTGATGCATTCCCTGACATACATTCCCTGACATAAATTCCCTGATGCATTCCCTGACATACATTCCCTGACATAAATTCCCTGATGCATTCCCTGACATACATTCCCTGACATACATTCCCTGACATACATTCCCTGATACATTCTCTGACACACATTCCCTGACACACATTCTCTGATACACATCCTTGAAATATTCCTTGACACACGTAGTAGTAGTAGTAGTAGTTATAAATATTATTATTATTATTATTATTATTATTATTATTATTATTATTATTATTATTATTATTATTATTATTATTATTATTATTATTATTATTATTATTATTATTATTATTATTATTATTGCTTCACTCATGAAGATATTATCCAACACTCAGGTTCGTGTCGCATCGCTTGTTCGTCGTACAAGCTGTGTGTGGCGGCTTCGACGGTGCCAGATATTGATGATGCCACGAAAGTCAACTGCCACCTGTCAGACAAAGGACCAACCGACTCCATCCTCACTGATGACCCGCTTGCCACCTATTACTTCTGGCAAGGTCAGATTTTGATAAATCTATTTTATCAGCGTCGGGTCTGACCAGTATCCTACTCTAGTAATGTCCGATTGTTTGTGAATTTTCAGTTATCACAGCTTTGCGTCTTCCGCCTTCATCCCCTCCCTCCCAAGTGTCAGATTTTGGCGAATCTTAGAGAATGAGTCGTGGTTTTTCGGGAGGAAGTGTGTATTTCAGTGATGAAGGTGACCTTAGAGCGATAAAGATGAAGTCATAATGAAAAAGGTCAAATTTAAGGGTAAAAGTGATTTATTCATTATTTCTTCTAAAATCGTCGACAGGATCTGGATGTAACTTGACTTGAAGACTCTCGGGGTGGTAGAGAGTGGCCTATTAAGTGTTTATCTTGACCACGTCAGTCAACTTCACCCTTGATGCAAAGGATGTAAGAGGGTGCCCAACAAACTAGCAGGGCACGTCTTTATCTGAATCTGATGAAAAGGAATGAACTGTCTGTAACTGTCTGTGGGTGGTGATATTCCGAGTGGGGGCAAATGTTCAACGTCATTTTAATATCGATACAGCAGAGAAAATCGTTTGATCCTACAAATAACTTCATTCAGTTCACAACTTCATATAAAAACACTCGTACAGGTATCGCTCAAAATGTGACGCAAGAATTTATGATGGAAAGTTCTTGTGTCATTGCAGTACTACCAATACCTCATTACAATTGGCAACTGTCAAAAAATAGTAGAGTGCGTGTTGTGGTTGCTGAAAGCGAATCATTCGTGACGAAGCGAACTATTTTTCGTAATGAATGCAAAAAAGATTTTCCTAATGACAGAGCAAGTGTTGCTTGGTATCATAAGTTACAAGAAGCGGGAGGTGTTGTGAAGGATGACACTGGCACGCCTCGTGTATCACGGGAATTTGTTGAACAATTCAGACCATTGTGTATATAATTCCAGGAAATCAATTTCATGTTGTGGTTTACAGCTGGGAATACCAAACACAACTGTCCAAAATGTTTTAAGAACATAAGAAAATAAGGAGTCTGCAATAGGCCGGTTGGCCTGTGCATGGCAGCTCCTGTCGAGAGTTACTACCAATCTCTATCATCCACGAATCTATCTAGCCTCCTTTTGAAACTTTCCAGCGTTCCAGCACTTACTACAAAGTTGGTAAGCTTGTTCCACTCGTCCACCACAACCAGTTTCTTCCTATCTCCCTCCTAAACCTAAACTTATCCAACTTAAATCCGTTGCTCCGAGTCCTATCCTGCTCGGATATAATAAGAACTTTATCTATATCCCCTTTATTGATTCCTTTCGCCCACTTAAATACTTCTATCTTATCTCCCCGCACTCTTCGTCTTTCTAGGAAATGCAAGTTTAGTTTCTTTAACATATCTTGATATGGAAGGTTTCTAATTCCCGGAATAATTTTCGTCATTCTTCGCTGCACCGACTCCAGTGAATTGATATTCATTCTATAATAAGGGCACCAGAACTGAACAGCATAATCGAGGTGCGGCCTGACTCGCGCAAGATATAATTGCAATAAGACCTCTGCACTCTTATTACTTACACTTCTAGATATAAAACCCAATACTCTGTTTGCCTTATTTCGAACATTAACGCACTGTTTTCTAGGCCGTAGGTCCGGGTTTACAAGTACCCCTAAGTCTCTTTCACAAGTCGACTTCTCTAGGTTGATGTTGTTAAGGCTGTATACATTGACAGTATTTGTTCTTCCAATATTAAGTACGCTGCACTTGCTGGTGTTGAATTTCATTTGTCATTTTTCAGACCACCCCTGCAGTTTATTTAAATCCTCCTGTAGTGCATTTGCATCCTGCCCTGAATTAATCTGCCGCCCTATTTTGGTGTCATCCGCAAACTTGCTTATGTCACTGCTGATCCCAGTATCTAGATCGTTTATGTAGATTATGAACAAGAGTGGACCTAGTACTGACCCCTGGGAACTCCACTGGTTACACAGCCCCACTCATATTTAACACCATCAACGCTGACCCTCTGCGTTCTATCGGTGAGCCATGATTTTATCCAATTTAAAACTTTCCCCTCGGTACCGTGAGCCTAAACTTTTCTCAGAAGCCTCTGATGCGGTACTCTGTCAAATGCTTTGCTAAAGTCTAAGTAAATAACATCGTAATTTTCGTCATTGTTTACAACCTCGAAGACTTTCCTAAAAAACGTCAACAGATTTGTTAGACACGATTTTCCCTTTGTAAACCCATGTTGAGAGTCGTAGATTAATTTGCTTTTCTCTAGATGCGATCGGATGCTATCTGCTATAATTGATTCAAGAAATTTCCCCACTACTGACGTCAAACTGATCGGCCGGTAATTTGACGCTGATGCTCTGTTTCCCTTTTTGAATATGGGTACTACATTAGCCTGTTTCCACAAGTCTGGCACAACTCCCGTGTCTAATGATTTTGTAAATAAATTTACGAGGGGTCCGCTACACTCTTTCAAGACTCGAGGGGGCGACTTGACTAGACAGGTCAGGTCAGGTAAAAAATAAGGGACCCACTAAATAACTATCCTACATCTAGCTCCAAGGTTTTCAAAGCATTTTTAACCTTGGGCCACTGACAAATAAATTTATGTCACATAATATCAGTTTTGAACTGACCATCACTAAGATTTATTGATTTTAATTCCTTAATCAAACTAGCTTCAACCAGAAGTGTTTCTGTGACACAAGATGATTTGAATACTTCTAAGCTTTTTTCCCAATCAATGGGATGATAATTATTCTTAACATGAACGAACAAGGCACTGCTTTCAGATGCTGTTCTAATATTGTACTTATGTTGTTTGATTCTGAGCTGCAGTGTTTTTCCTGTCTGTCCTACATAATTACCATTGCATTTGCTCGGCCTGGCTGCCAAAACCAAGAGCGCCTTCAGAGCACGTCTTGTCTCACTGATGGCTGACTGACGTGTGTCAGTGTGTGTGTATATATATATATATATATATATATATATATATATATATATATATATATATATATATATATATATATATATATATATATATATATATATATATATATATATATATATTAGCTCTGATGTCGTCCAACAGCGTCAGTGCCGAGCCAGATGTACGAGGTGAGGGAGGACAATTTGCTTTACATGATGTCACAAGAAGCCTCAAACTTCAACACTTCCAAGGAACTGTGCGAGAAGATCCCTGGACACCGCCTGGTCATGCCCAAATTGGCACAGCAGTTCCTCACCGTCAAGGCAATTTATGAAGAAAAAGGTACGTCCTGCCATAGTCTGTATATAAACTGTATGTATGTTTATATCATAAGAACATAAGAACATAAGAAAATAAGGAGTGTGCAATAGGCCGGTTGGCCTGTGCATGGCAGCTCCTGTCGAGAGTTACTACCACTCTCTATCATCCATGAATCTATCTGGCCTCCTTTTGAAACTTTCCAGAGTTCCCGCACTTACTACAAAGTTGCTAAGCTTGTTCCACTCGTCCACCACCCTATTTGTGAACCAGTTTCTTCCTATCTCCCTCCTAAACCTAAACTTATCCAACTTGAATCCGTTGCTCCGAGTCCTATCCTGCTCGGATATTATAAGAACTTTATCTATATCCCCTTTATTGATTCCTTTCACCCACTTAAATACTTCTATCATATCTCCCCGCACTCTTCGTCTTTCTAGGGAATGCAAGTTAAGTTTCTTTAACCTATCCTGATATGGAAGGTTTCTAAGTCCCGGAATCATTTTTGTCATTCTTCGCTGCACCGACTCTAGTGAATTTATGTCCATTCTATAATAAGGGCACCAGAACTGAACCGCATAATCATAAGTTTGCTGTTCTTGAGGCACTAAACTACCGTAACTATATTAAGTTTGATGAAAATTGGTTTCACGATGCATATTTTAACACCAGAATCACTAGAGTTAAGCAAATGTCTACCAGGCTTCATGATGGGTAACACTGGTAGTTGGCGATGTGGGAAGATTCGTGTCTGCTCGTTTCACGACTCGTAAACTCAGTGAAACATTTTTTTTCCTGTAATTTGTAGATTAATTTATAAATTATAAAGGTGTGAGTGATTTTGTCATCTTGTTTACCGGCATGATGATGCACCTCATATTAAGGCGCCGAGTGCGACAAGGGGCCAAGGGCCAACCCCCCCCCCCCCAAATAGTTATAGGGTTATCTATGCTCCCCAACCTTTCCTCTATTCTGCAGAAAAACAAACTGTCCCAGTAGCGCAATATTTGTAAGGCTGAGAGCCATATTAGTGAAGGTACGTAAAAGCGTTTCTACAGCGCGTGATCTGTTCCTCGAGGCGGACTGAAGAGGAGAAGGGGATAAGTGCACGCGGCCTCCAATCGTAGCCCTCATACATAGAGACTTATTATTTTCCGGTTTCTTAGCTAATGGGAGTGCATGTCTACAAAATTGTCATGAGAATGCTGTGTAATAACACTAGAACCTTTTTTTTTATTTTCCAACTGGCAGAAAGGAGGGAGTGAGGCCCATTGAGAGAAAAATACATACAAAACAGAGAAGAAGGAGGGAGTGAGGGCTGGTTGCACGTGGTGTGTTATGTTACTGTCCGAGTGACAAGTCTTATCGCACCAATAGGGGGGAAACAGAGGGAGGTGGAGGCAGCTGGGAGCGAGGATGGGTGCAGGTGCGTATTAGTAGGAAGCTTATAGCACTAAGGGAGGGAAGTGCCGTTCTGTTCTCCATGCATTATTCCTTCATCTTCCAATAATGTCTCCATTGTAATAAGGCAGTGTTTGTAATATATGCTGTGTTTACTTGTTCCTTGTTACTATTAAGATTTTACAATCACATGTGGATAAGCCAAAAATATAGTATTTTCAATAAGGATCAAAACTGATTGTTTACATGTGTTTGTCATCAGAAGATGGCTGAAAATTACAGCCATCTTCTGATGACATAAACAATGACTTGTATTACCAATATTTAATATTTTTAATATTGGTAATACAAGTCATTGTTTACTGTATTTTTTCTAATAATAAATAAGACTTAAGTGCCTGCATTTTAATAATTATACTTTTTGGCGCTTGGCCCCCTGTCGAAATATTAGTAATATACTACCTCGTATTGTTTGCTTTTATGCAAACAGTACAATGACCTTTGACTTTTTGGTGTGGTGTTAATACATTATTGCTTCCATGTAATGAAAATTATACCTCAACAATGCATATTAATGAAACTGCAAACACTATCCATCAGAAACAATGTAATTTATACTATAAACAATCTTTTCAATTAACATGACTTTCATATCTGCGAAACGGCTTTAAGAGCTCTACACACTGCTACTTCAATGAACTCAATATCTTCATTGGTTCAAAAGTCAGGTCATTTTGAATTTTCCAAACTTAAAGAGCGTTTTTCTCGATTGTGATTTTTAGCGCTTGGTACATTGTCGCACTGGGCGCCTTAATTATTGTATTATTGTATCAATAGAAGTCACTTACAGTATACGCCACTACCTTACTGAGGAAACCTAAGGCTATGTCCCATTGCGAGCGTCCTGCAGCATCGAGCGACCACACGAGTGAACACGCTGCCTTGGTGTAGGGGAAAAACATGTGTTTTTCTTTGATGTGTCCCACGTAGACGCGTAAAGCGTTAGCGAGAGACCAGGAAGCGGGAACTAGGCGCGCGAACTGGAAGCAGTAATCAATTATTTTGATCGTCTCTTCCTCTGTCGAGCGAGTCCTCGCAATGTGCACCAAACCTAAAAAAGGCGATACAATCATTTTCTACTGTTAACAGCTTGATCTTGCCAAGATATAAGTCTTGTGGACTCTTAAAGTAACTGCAAAATGTTTCTCTCACATTCTTTGCAGAAGAATGTAAAGCATTGTTTATTCTAGGGGGTACTGTGTTATTCTCAACTGTACATTCTTGAATTGCATATAACTTTACGTCCAGACCTTCTGTGTCACTGATGATATTATGGAAAAGTGTAGCGCACTTTACAATGCCAACAGCAGTATCTACCTTTGTTTCAATAGCTTCATTTAAAATTCTCCATTTACGTGTACAAATTTCAATTGCACATTCTAGAACACGCCTGGCATGTGACAATCTGTAATTATTTTGTTCTTTGTTCAGAGCATTACTAGGAAAGGGTTTCAACATATATACACAGGGTTGGTAGGCCTCGTCCCCAATCAGAACACATTCTGGTGTACTCGTGAACCTCCTTTGGATCTTGGCGAGGTTCCTTGTAGAGATGGTGAAATTCGCCTACTTTCATCCAGCATCCTCCTCTGATATATGAGATGTTTTTTCCTGGGTAGCTCTACAGGTGCCACACGTTGAAAATCATTATTTTCTAAAAGTACCAGCAAACGTCTGTGATGTTTAGACGGCAGGTTTACGCTGACAGACGCTGGCAGGTGGGACACAGGGCGCTTTGGAAAGTAGGTCGTGCGTCTACGCCCTGGTCGCTCGATGCCGCAGGACGCTGGATGCCGGAGGACGCTCGGATATGGGACATGGAGCCTTAGAAATTGTGTCATGTACAGTAGTATATACATTTCTTAATTCAATCGTAAACGTATTTCACGTATCTTAAATAGCATGACCTGGTAAAATATGCTTCATCTTAACTTTTATAATGAGTAACAAGGTTGTCCAAGAATTAAGTATTGTCTGCGTAAGCTGTTCTTGAGAAAGTTTCTCTCACACGCGTAAAATATCTCCATACGATAAAGGTGGGAGCTGAACTGACTGATATAACCAACAACCTAACGAAATGTATTGGCTGCCCAAATTCATTCTTTCCTGACTTGACTGATTTTTATCGTTTAATGAAAGCTTTTACAAATGTAGCTTAACGCAACCAGTAACTAATCCTTGCCCATCCTTGTTTCTCGTTGTTTCGCATTGTCAACAAAGGCGTAATTCCCTAACCTTCAACACCACTTATGTTGGCAGGTACACAGTTGTGGATCGACCTACACAGGAAAGACACTCCTATGACTCCTGACCATTGGGGAGATGGCACCCCTTACAATAGCACTTCCACTTCAGAAATAGCGGTGACGGCCAATGATGAGACGGTCGCTTCTTCCTACAGGATGTCGACAGGAGGAGTGTTATTTGACAGGACCTACGACGTCTCCTACCACACACTGTGCCAGGCTAACATATATGGGGTGGAATGGTAGTAGGTGCAAGACGTGGCTTGTTCTGGTGGTGGACTAGTCTCTGGTTTGTTCCTTGGAGGAAAGTTTGGTGATAGATAGATCATTATTTGGAAAATCAGCATACAAGACAGGGGCTAATACAGGTAAGCAGTGCAGGTATACAAACAATAGTAAACAATACAGGTATACAAACTTTATAGTAAACATTGCAGGTATATAAACAATAGTAAACAGTGCAGGTATAAAAACAATAGCAATCAGTACAGGTATGTAAACAGTGCAGGTATACAAACAACAATAAGCAGTGCAGGTATATAAACAATAGTTAACGCTGCAGGTATATATACAATAGTAATCAGTGCAGGTATATAAACAATAGCAATCAGTACAGGTATGTAAACAGTGCAGGTATACAAACAACAGAAAGCAGTGCAGGTATAGTGTGACCGACATCCACACAGAAACTGTGGGCGCTGCAGACAAGACGTGTGTTACAACCCCACGGCCTTGCCGGCGGTACACAGGATGCCAAATCACCGAACATTGCTCGTTTAAGTACCTGTAAAAAAGAAAGTGAAGCAACATTATGGCGAAGAGAAAAGGAAGAGAAATTATCGACTAAAGGAGGAGAGATGACAAGCCGAAATGCCTTTGATTCCACCGTATCTAACAGTTGGACAGAAGAAGAGCCACCCCAGATATGAGAGCAGTACTCCAAGTTAGGACATATGAATCCCTTATAAACTTGAAGCATCTACTCAGGAGTGAAGTAGCTACGGCATCTGTACAGCATTCCCAGCTTTCGGGAGGCGGCTTTAGCAATGTTGTGTATGTGTGGCTTCCATGACATATTAAAGGAAATGGTGAGACCCAGCAAATCTATTTTAGAATTTGGCAAAATGATTGCGTCCGAAAATGTGATTGGTGCGAGATCTTCTATATTGGAAAGTGAAACTGGTAAATACTGTGTTTTATTACTATTGAATTTAACCAAGTTTCTACCTCCCCATTCGGAAATGCTGCACAGATCCGCTTTGATAGATGAAATGATATCACCTCGAGAAATAGATTTTGTTTGAGAGTTAGGAGGAAGGGAAAAATGAGAAGAGTGAAGAGTCTAATCATCAGCGTAATAATGGATAGAATTAGTAGTAGTGTGAAGTAAATCGTTGATAAAAAGAAGGAGGAGAGTAGGTGAATGAACAGAACCCCGTGGAATACCACTATTGGATCGGTTCTCAAGGAAGCTAAAAATTATAGAACAAAGTGGAGGAGAGAAACCATAAGAGTGAAGTTTAGAAAGCAAAGACTTGTGCCATACCCTGTCAAATGCTTTGGAGATGTCGAGAGCCACGACGAAAGTTTCCCCATAATCCCCAAGGTGTGATGGCAAAGTGTCATTTGTGTTATCGCTGTCATAATTTTAAAGAAGGAAGGACGTGTGTGTGAGTCTATCTACTCTCAAATCTTATTCCTCCCTGTTGTTCGCTACACTTACCTTGCACATTTTTCAATTATTTCTTGGATTCACTTCACGTACACAAGTGGGAGAGGAGCAAAGAAAGTGTCTAAACAAAATATCAAGTGTTTTAGGACTCCAGGAGCTTCATATTGTCTGAGAAAACTCATTTTGCACGCCAGAGTGAGGGAGATGTTGTGATACTCCAGATGTGGCGGGGAGGAAGGAGGTTAGTAAAGCACTTTCTTGTACTGTATGTATTGTTATTTCTGGTCATAGTGCCGGAATATTTATAATTTTTTTCTGCTTTTGTTGCATTTATCTAATATGTGTGTTTGATTTTATTAGTTACTGTCATTGTTTTAAGTATAGATTGTGCATTAGGAATAAGATTTGATGTATGTATGTGTGTCTCACTATATCACCTACACATCAGCCATATTTTGAACCAAATCTGTCACCTTATTAGTAGTTGTTTCTGCTGACTCATGACTGGTCATTATGGAAGGTGTCCCCCCAACACACACGTTGTCATGTATCTTGGGTATAATTGTTTCATAGCGATAATTTTTGTGTACAGTATAACGGATTTTTTTCTCAAATTTTACTCGGTGTTTAAACATATATAATCGTGTAAGTAAAGTTAATATAAACTGTAAGTCAACATTATGTGTATATACCATGTTTAACCAGACCTAAACTAACTAAGCCTTACCTAACTTAATTTACATAAGGTCTGTTTATGATCGCGTGGAATGTATAAAGTTAAATTAAAGTTATCCTATGAACAATAAATCCCATGTAGTTGTAATATTTATAACATAAGTTATCTCTCATTCGCAAGTGTTGTTTGTGTGTTAAGATTTACTGAGAGGATCATCCCTACCACACACGACACATACCGAGAGGCAGGAGCCGGTCCTGCTGTCCCAGCCACCACCTCAGTCCTCTGTTTACACAATTCTTGATAAAATGTTCAACATAAAATGAGCTCTTGTAGACGTATATACGTTACTTTATGATAATGTAACTAAATGTCAATGTTTCCATCGAAGTGATCTACTGTCAACCATGTCGGCTGGTGCTCGATGTCATAATTAAACGGATTTGATATTTTAAACTCGAAAAGGAAGTTCTAATAACAGAAATCGTTAAACATAGCCATGCATTATACTTGCTAATTTGATTCATGGGAACATTTTCATGTTATTCAAGTAGTTTTACAGTTAAGTATTCATTGTTGCGCCACGAGCCTTGTAACCTCACCTACACTCGCCAGGATTCAGGTATATAAACAAAAAAGTGTGCTCGGCTGGCTACAAGACTCACACTAAATCAGGTGAAGCCATCGAGCCAGTACTGATGCTGGACACTGAGGGAAAGAGGAAACTACCAGGATCACGAGGTACTTGCATACTTGACGCTCTGTGTAGGTGGCGGGCAGTAAAGCCGTCTAGTATTCCCCAGGTATAAAAGGGCCAACCCTCAGTGGTTCACCTCAGGTTTTCGTGTTCTACTCTGTTGTTCACGCGTCATATTTATAAACTGTGGATCTACAGGAAGGTAGGACGTTATTTGTGGTGTTCTACGTTCCGGAGCATTTAGAGTTTTAGACTATTTATGAATCATTCAAAAGCTATCATAAGTGAATTTTACTTGTGTTATGTTTATGCCAGAGATTGATAAACTGGTGTCAAGGATTATTATCATTAAATATGTATCGTGTGTGTGTGTTGTGTTTTATCGTCCAAACTGATCCAAAACACCTAAAGTGATGTGTGCAGGCAAAACCAGCAACCTGACGGGGAACCAGAGTGGTGAGAGCCTTCTGAGACAGGTACTGGTATCTGGTACAGGGTGTTGGGAGCTCGAGTACCTGCTGGATTGGTATCCTCGAGTCTGTGACGTCTGGTTTATGAAGTAGCAAGGCCTGGTTGTTTACAAAGTCCCTTGATGCTTGAGTTTTACAAAGTTCCATGCTGCTGGTATTCACAAAGTCTCTTGAGGAACTTATACGCCTAAAACTTGGGTAAAAACTTCACTCTTCTTCTTCTTCTCCTTCTTCTTCAATGACATTCACCTTACATTTATTGAAATTGTAAAGAATGCATTACCGTCCTCCGTGAAGTGTTCTTTACAATTCCTCGTCCGACTCACATTAAGTGTGGTGAAGAATACAGTTAAGTTAAGGAACTCTGTAAACACACAAATCAAGTGACTCTAAAAAACACACAAATCAAGTGACTCTATAAACACAAACATCAAGTTAACATGAACACTCTGTACACTCCACTGGTCTTGTTACACACTTCCATTTCTACCCCACCCCACTCCACCCCATTCCTGCCCCACCCCACTCCACCCATTTCCTGCCCCACCCCACTCCACTCCACCCAATTCCTGCCCCACCCCACTCCACCCAGTTCCTGCCCCACCTAACCCCACCCCACTCTGTTCCTAGCTCATTCCACCCCATTCCGCCGCGTTCCTGCCCCATACCACCTCATTCCACCTTGTTCCTATCCCAACCGCACTCCACTCTGCCCCGTTTCCTGCCCACCCCACCTCACCCCACCCCACCCCTGAAGGAAGACAGCTGAGCAACAATAGATTCTAGATTCCTTTAGACTGGTCGACAAAGAAGGAGCGACAGTGGCGTTGTAGCTTGGTGGTGATCTTCAAAAAGCTGAACCGACGAACATCACCACTGCGAGGGAGAAGAGAACGGTAGAGAGAAGATGAGAGGGAGGAGAGATTACGAGCGAGGGAGAGAGAACGAGAGAGGGAGGCGAAGGAGAGGAAAAGCGAAAAGAGTACGAGAGTGGTAGGCTAGGGAGAGGAGAAGCGGGGAGAGAAAGGAAGATATGGAGAGAGGAGGGGTGAAGTAAGAGAAAGAGAGGGAAGAGGAAGATGAGAAGAGGAAAGAGAAATGGAGGTAGGGGGGTAAGACTCTAAACTGTGTGTGTTTGAAGTTCAGTTGACGAATATGATGCAGGGCCTCTGTGTTCTGTTCTAAGTGGATTACTGTCTAATGCCCAGTGATCTGATGTGAGTGAGTGAGTGGATTAACGCCTCACCGTAGCCCAGATCTTCCACGCTAGCTGGGTACTGACTGGCCTCGCCTCCTCTGGACGTAAAGGGGATTCAAACCCATCCAAGTATAAGAGCTTTCGATGCGCATTTGTTTCAGGCCCATAATGCATAAGGGCTTTCGAGGTTATTATTTTATATCTTTGGTTGTACATCCATTGATGTATTAGAACATTCGATGCGCATTTCTTTCCCACCCGTCGACATATAGGAGCTGTCGATGGCGATATTTGAGGTGTATTTGTTTTATAGATGCTAAACAATTATGATCACCAAACTATATGTGTACAAGAGAGAGAATTTGGTCCTCCACTCCAGCTAGGAGTCGAATTCGTGAATATGTATTAACATATACAATATTTAATTTGTGGTAAGTCTTCTATCTAAAATTACGAATATTTAGACTACGGCTCGCCTCTCATTAGTTAGCGAATCAGCCAATCAGAGGCCGCGGTTACATTATTTGGTACGTGTTGGCTGTGAATATGACAACAGCGGACCAGGACAGGCAACCTACTGCTCCAGCAATTAAATTTGGATACAATCACTGGACGTTTATTCTTCATTAACTCCAATTTGATCATTAACATGATCAGTGACCCGAGCTGATACTAACGACTGTTTGGAAGCAGGAGGGAGGGTGGAGGAAGGTAGGAAAGGAGTGGAAGGGTGGAGGAAGTGGAACAGAGAGGGAGGGAAGGAGGATGGAGAGGAGTGGAGGAAAGAGGGAAGACGGGGATGGAAGAAGAGAGTTATGGGGGGGAGGGAGGAAAACAGGAAGGGGAGTGGGGAAGGAAGGAACAACTTTGTGTATGTGTATTGTAAGTGGTAGAGGGGAGAGGGACGGAGAAAATTTGAGACAGAGAGAGAAGGAGAGGGTAGACGAAGAGCAATAAGATACGAAAGATTTGTGAACACAGTAAAAGTGTGTAATAAAGAAGACATGTGAGGACATAAAGAGGTGTTGAGGATGTGGGAGAGAAATATGGAGATGGGAAAGTGAGAAAGAAAGAGAAATAATGGAGA